TTACTAGTACTAGAAGTTGAGTACTAATTTTGGGGGGGAAAAAAAACTAAAGCCGGAAAAGAAAAAACCGAGATCTACTTGACATATATAATACATATCAAAGGTATGCTCGTACCAAACCCAGGTCTAATAATTCTGTGAGAAACTATAAACTATCGATCTACTTGTGTTCATGTCTGCTATGTACACCTAGAAAAAGTTTTGGTCTGCTAATTAAAGGGATCATTGATTATACAACACACATAGCTTAGCATATAATTATAATAATTATGCTCATAGCTCATCAATGGTACCTAGCTTCTTATTTGTGTACACATTCTTTATTCACGCACAGTACAAAAACTGAGAAAAGCTTTTCCATTACAGGAAACCCAGAATCTAAAAACTCTATACCACTCTCTTCAAATTTAGGAACGGCTCACACTTTCTAGCTAGCCTTTATTTCTTTCAAGTTATACGGTAAAAGAGGATATACAACATTATAGTGTTTTTATCAAGCAACATTCAAAATTGCAAATGCAAAATAGAGAAAATATATATAATCGTTTTGAGACTTTAAAATCTTTAATTAATAGTAATGAGCGTAGATTTATGTTTAAAAGTAAAGTCTCATAAATATATATATATATGCAGTTGTTTCAAAAGTTTTCTATATCTATTCTTGTTTTCAATAAATTTATCGTGATCCCAACGATTTCAAAAGGGCTTGGAGACAGCTCGGACAATTTTTGCATTAACGAGTTCATTGCGTTATAATTGCTTCGGCTATGTCAAAAGTTTATAATGTTTTGTTTTTAAAAGTACAGAAAATATACTTTAACTAACAAAGGCAAACGCAATTTGCTGAACATGTTTGTTTATATCGTCATTCACATGGCATAGAGTTAAGGAAAAGCTAGCTAGTGAATAGTGAAGTGACCTAAGAGCATCATTAATGGTAAACCCACCAAGGGATTTTAAATAATTTTTTTAGTATTAAAAATATTATGACACTTTCGAAACCCATGTCTTTAAGTTCTTTGTATAGAACCTTTTCATAAAAAATTCATTAAATTAATAATTTTTTTAATCATTTTTTGCCTTAAGACACTCTTAAGAGTGTTACCATTAAGGATTAAGGATGCTCTTAGGGCATTTGTTTACTTGTAAAAGTTGAATACAAGTGTTGTTTTGTCCCTTTCTTTTTCAGAAAGAAAAGTGTTTTAAATTAGGGTTTTTCGTACATTGCATAGCGTAAGCATCTGAAAAACAGTGAAGCAGTGAAGACGGAATAGAGAAAGTGATAGTGGGGAATCAATTGCTGATTCATGAGTCTAAAACTTTTGTGTCTCCATAAGCTATTCCGTACGATTTTATAGGGGTAACATGGGATAGACTTGGAGAGGGAAAAAGCAACTTTGTGTTGGCTAGCCAAAGAGAAAAGGACAAAGTTTGATGTTAACTTAAGCCAACCAAACCCAACCTGGAATACTATTTATAACCAGACTGTCCTGAATTTGAGAGAGAATATTCCAAAGTAGAAATCTATTCTAGGTGGCTTTCTTTCTATTCGTTTTCTTTCATAAGCGGAAAGGTTTGAGTTTGATTCTGGACATACAATATTTGATTTTTAAACAACTGTGAAAGGAGAAAAATAAAAACAGACACGATTTATAATGATTGACGTCTTCAATATTGGAGTTACTTCTACTTCCCATCGCTGCAAAATTTGAGAGTTTTTTTTAAATAAAGGAAAAATGAAACTCTTTTCGTTAATGAAACAACGAAAAGGATAAATACTATGACAAACAAATACATGAATGAAATAATTGAAATATATATCATTGATGAACACCCTTAGAATTATAATCTTTGCCTTGGAGTCGGAGATTCCCTACAACCTTTGGGGAGATAAGTTTACCACTCTCTTCAATCGATCATATATCGACCTACTTAATCATATTCTGATCTTTGGGACTTCACGTCGTTAACAAGATTAGACAACTTAACAAAAGAAGTTGTATGTTATATAACATTGTGACGTACCAGAGAACATGCATTGATCCTTAGACTCAATACCGTACGAATATCTAGATCTAGCGAAACTGATATTATCTTTCACTTGTGTGTCTGAGTTTTTTTTTTGAAAAAAAATTAGTAATGTAATTTAGAGGCATGCATTTTCTATTATTTGGTCATCTTTAGTGGGCGGAAAATGGGTCTTGTTCTTTGCATTCAAATACATTGTTGTTGGGCAAACGTGTTTTTGACACACTGTGTTTGTTTAAAATAATTGTTTTATTTCGTGGATGATGCATGCATATATTCAGTTCACGAACATTCCTCTCTAGATGTTCACGCCTTGATCGATGCAAATCGGATATTAAATAACTTTTGTGGTAAATTATAATGAAAGGGATTTTAAAATTGTTGGGCTGTTGTTATCATGTTGGTAAGTTGGGTTTACGAATCGATCGGTACACGAATCTTTTTGTTTATTAGGGAGAAGAAACAAAGCTCTAAGCATGTTTATTAGTGAACTTTTGTAGATTTTTTTAAATATAAAATAATTAAAAACACT